CTAACGTGCATAGAGATTCCATCGTCTCTCGCAGCCGAGAAGTTTGAAATATATTGCTATAAATCGGCGCCAATAATTTTGGGACACCCTGAACATACCCATACCCTGGTCAAAAGGGTGAATCGCGTGGACGAGTTGTCCAGCTAAGAAGCCGCATCGAATGGGTGTCGCGATGCTGGAGACTGCGCCAAGCTACCGCCTCCCGTTCTACACGTTTTTAGAAGACAATCTTCTTCAACCCACGACTTTACTGCTTCGTAACAGCCACTATAACAGCAGGAAAGTCACTGTAACCATGGTATTCCGTTCAAACGATCTCGCAGTACCGACTGAGTTTGTACCGGTTTTATCAGCACTAAGATTCCTATTCTAACTACCCTATCAGATACAGCCACAGATCACCAAATATTTGGGTGAACATTCAAAAACAAGTCAATCTCCCAAATAATAGATGGCTTACCTGTTATAGAGTAAAATATCAGGTAACCAGATTTGTTGCTCATCAGTAGGGAATCGTAATGACGAAATATTATCATGAACTATTGGACGCCAACGTAAACGGTAATCATTCCATGTCTGAAAGGGTCATATTCTTCCATCAAAAAATCGACTATACCGTACCATTACAGTACTCCTAAAGTGAAAGATGCTTTCAGCACCTAATGAACGGTTGTAGACTCTAAAGGTCGAAGATCTGGGAATAGTGAGCTGTAAACTACAGGCGAAATCACAGGCGAAAAGTAATAGTCTGGACTCCTTACGTCATTTTTAGGAATATCCCATAGACATTCATCCACGATGAACCCTAGTATTCCCATCCCTAAAACGGTCCATCCCAGACCCACAGTTTAGCTAGTTCGTACCCCGTTCTATGCCGATGGTAAACCACTGTTATTTCCCTCTACGTTTTTGTAGAATACTGTTAATCATGGAGTTCTGGTGGCCAAGCAACCACCATGCTCGTCATATAAGTACCAAAAAATAAGTGAACGAGACGGTCAATGGTCATCTGTAAAACTGGATGTCCTATGCAGGAAGGTGGCTGGTACGATGCTACTATGTATACTGGAAAAAGCATCTTGGGTAGGAGAAAGTAGAATCCATCGAGTTGTAAATGGAAAAAAGTCGATATAATCCTTCACATACATATTTCAACCATGCATTCACTTCGATGAGTTGATTTTGTTCGTCAACGTTGAGAAGCTGTTGAAGGAAAATTTTCATTGATACATTCGATACCTAAATAATATAATATTTCACGATAACGGATCCAAACAGCTCAGAACAACTAACACAATCACCAAAAAAAAGCCCAGCCCTTAGGCTCTAAATTCCAGGGACAAAGTAAGGTTAAGGAGGCCAGGACAAACTTTTCTGAGGTCTGAACTTTTCATTCAATATATAGGTCTTCGAAAAGTAATAGAATACATGGCGCATCTCGGAAAATACCAACAAAAGCTTGTAATTTATCCTTTCATGCTTTAGTAAGAAAATATTTTTAACGACCCAAAGCACTCACTTTATTGGGATTCCTTGCAGGTCTCACCAATGCGCTGTAGTTTTTCAGCAATGATCTAGAACAAATAAAAAATTGTGAAAAAATAAAAGCGGAGTCCAATGCAATGCCTCAATAATACTTGTTTTACAAACAGTAATGATTGTGCATACTAATAAATTTGCAATTGTAACAGCACTGGTTCGAGGATCGAAACCCTGGACGATATCCGCTCGGACCAACAACGTCTTCCATCATTCCCAGGAGGGTAATAATTGGCACTAAGTTTTCTGGGAGGATAAAAGCACTAATTCGTACTTCACGGCTGACCACCACAATTTATTGCATAGGCCTTATACGCATTCGAATCGCCACTGCGATTCTGAATGGAAATCGACTGCAGGGCGCATCTTCAGAAGCTCTAGCAAGACTAATGAAATAGTGGCATCAATACTAATACAAAATTATTAGGTTGATGCATAGCTATTGCGGATTTTTTCGCGGCTCTTTTGCTCTTCATAGACCTCGAAAATTGAGTTCGGGTTTTTTTAGAAATGATCTACTTGATTTCCTCTACAAGAATATACTCAAAAAATCATCCGTATATTCGCGGAATTAGGCTTTACTTCTTCGAGAAAGATTGGAAAGTGGCACAGTCATTCCGCGATCTCAGTAACTTTTCGGCGATCGTTCATTAGGTGATCTAGGGAAAGTACACATGATTTCCTGGCGGTCAAACACGACTATTTTGATATTTTCTATTTCCCCTGAATTTTACCTGCCTCTATATATAAGGTAGATGCATAAATATTGCGGATTTTTTCCAGCAAATTTTACTTGAAGAAACTATAGAAATACTAAGCAAAGACATATTCAAATAGTTACTCTGGAACTTATTCACCATCTACGTCAAGCACTGCTTCCCATTGATTAGTTAGTCGGATCCCATTAGCAAGAAGTTTTGATCCTTACAGGCGATGCTTGCCGTGACATCGGCCATCAAGTCATCCAAATCGACGTAACTTCTTTTCTCTAGCCATTTTTTCGATGAACGGTTGACGAGATAGTCCATAAAAGTTTCTGCTGATGAATGTGGCAGATTTAGGGGCAGATCCCATTTCCTGGTTGGCTCTGGCTGATTGTTCGACCGCCGAAAAGTTACTGAGATCGCGGAATGACTGTACCACCTTCCAATCTTTCTCGAAGTAGTCAAGCCTAATTCCGCGAATATGCGGATGGTTTTATGAGTACATTCTTGTGGAGGAAATCAAGTAGAACATTTTTAGAAAAAACCCGAACTCAATATTCGAAGTCTATCAAGAGAAAGAGGGCCGCGAAAAAATCCGCAATAATTATGCATCAACCTAATAGTTTTGATGTGAAGGGCTCCGACCGAATGAGGATAGTTGCGGCACCGGAGTGTCCAGATTGAAACAAAACAGAATTGTTAACACCTTAGAAAATGCTGCTCTCGCAGTTGACAATTCTTTTGACATGGGCTTCATGGTCCTCTTTCAGCCAAGAGAAAGCGTAAGGGACTAAATGCTCACTGGTACAGGAAAGCGCTCAGTGTTCGTGACTCATGCTTGATTGGGAGTTATCGAGGGTAGCAATACTTCGTACATAGATAGTAGTTGAAGGAACTCAACATTTCCTCGTCATTAGCCGCTTCCCTTTATGTGGTCTCAAATAGAATTTAGAAAATGAAGATTGGTCCAGTAGTGAGCCATGTAACGACTTTTCCTCAGATTTATGAGGACAACAGGAGTTGCGATGATCCGGGTGGTGTAATGGTATTTTGATTTCAATAAACCAAAACATCGACGACAACCGAACCTCGCTATTTCAGTTAACGACGGGTAAAATAGTTACAATTACGATCTTCAATGTTGAGACATACCTGTACAATTCAGCTTCAACTTTACTGCACTGAATATGGTAGGTATATGCCATTATGATGACATATAATCTAAGCATAATCAATAGGATCACCAGCAAATCCCAAGATGTTTCTACACTAATCGCTCATATCTTGCCCATCGGACCCTCTTCAATGAGAACACGGGCACACAAGTGAATCAACAAACAGACCTATTCACACAAATGCTCACATACACACTCGTACACTAGGGATAGCCACCGAAAACCGTCATTTCCCCAAGTTTGATTGTAATTAATTGCAGCCCTATAAATCTCACCGATGAATCGACAAACGTTCAAGAAACTCATTCTTCGCAAGACCAACCTTCCCTTCAAAGTGGGTCAAAGTGGCGTTCGAAAGATTAAACATTTTGCGGCCAGGTGAAGAACCGTAAAGAACCTGCCTGGAAGCGATTTCTCCCCCACCAGGCTTTTTACTGACTGAGCTGTCCACTGCGAGATCGAGCTCAGACCCTCAGTCACCCTCAAAAACCAAAAAGGCAACTGAATGAGTAGCAATCATCACAACCAAATAATTTTCTTTATCGCTCTACTTCGCTCTTCTGAAGAAAGGTGATAAGCCAGTCAGTACCACCGAGATAGCAACTTTTGTCGGTCGGTCGAGGCCGTCCTACCGGTTATCAAGGCCACTTTGGCCAGTTCTTTGCAGGACTACTTTTCAGTGAAATGTTGTCTGTTCCGTTAACGGCTCTTGGGTATCCAAAGCAGGAAAGAATTTTTATTAGATAGTATGACACGCGCACTTAGTGATAAACAGACATTGAAGGTCGTATTCACTTCCGTAACGGAGGTTTGCTGTTCCAAGGTCCTAAAACGAAATGTGATCGTATAGACAAGGAATCGGTCGTTATCATCTTTAGGCTATATACTTTGATATTATATTCTACTGCTTATTGATTAATGCAGTAGCCTAAACACAAAAATATGCGGTCTTAGCTAAAGTCAGCCAAATCACAAATTATGAACACTACTTAGAAATACTTTTTCAACGGCATTCAAGCTTCTTCTTTTTCCTTTTCTTTCTTTTTCTTTGTTCTTTTTTTTCTCTCCCTATTACCGAAATTAACATACATTCAGAAAACGAGCTTCACAATTTGGAGCTCTGACGAGTGTGAGCTCTAACTTGCTCGGATCCTCGCCGTCGTATATTTCCAATTGCATCAGCTCTCGTATGCCGGGTACCAGATGATCAGAGAAGGCATATGCAACTTCAATCTGAAATTAAATTATGATCAAACAAAGAAAAAATCGACTTAGAGACATTCAAAATAATTTAGTAGCATCTGCTTTCAGTAATCTTCAGCCGAATCGGTACGCATCAGTTTCNGCCTACACAATGGCTTGCGGTAGCCAGCCGATGCACGAGCCAGTGCATTTCTTCCTAAAACAAGTCTAAGACCAAATAAACGGCCCTGTACGAATACATGGCCTAGTTCACTAGCACAGGCAGCATTATGGGAACGTCATGGCACTTGCCGAGACTGGACTTCGTTCACAGGGTTGAGGGTGATTGTTAAATGTCAATAATTGTTAATCTGAACCTGGAGTTTTCCAACCCGGTAGAGGCACATTCAAGGCTGCAGTACGGGAACCCTGATGAGGTAGTATGAAGTGACTAGGCTGGACTCAACCCGAAGGTGGGAGATGGAGGAGGCGGGCGGAACGTCTGTGCTATGAGCGCAATTTGAGTAGAATACGAAGTCAAGTTGGAATAAGTGGGGAAAGAACCGGAATAATTATGCGCACAGTACTTGAGCAGGAAGCCGCTTATGGCGGGCGAGACGCACACGGAATGTGTCGGATTGTGTGTTCGGTCTGAAACCAATCGCTGGCCTATATGGTAGGAAAGGAGCGTTTTGCGAAAAATCCAATCAGTCCTTGATTATCATTTATGATCACTTACACCTTTTGATCCTTTGAGGAAGTTTATACGAATGGGATCTTGTTTTTCGAAGTCCAAGCCTAGCTGTCGAGCTTCATCTGAAAAACAAAGGACTAATATGTAAAAAGGTTTAAATTCAGGGTAGAGGGAAATGGGTAATGGCCATTAGAGTTTACCACTGTCCGTTGGGATGAGCATGTTATGTACGAAGACGAACGAAAGAGTATTCGTATCGTCCGAGCACATTGATCCTGATTGATCGAAACATATCCGCACCCTGCAGTAGGACAATCACGACATAAATGGCCTATCAAAATTTACAGTGATAGAAGAAAAGATCCGCATTTAATAGACCAGTTACAAAAAGTTGAAACCTATTGCAGTCAAGTAGTTATCGGGCATCAGAGTACGTTTAAAGGCATGGTCCACGATAAGAAAGGTTACTGAGTTCTTCCTTAAGGAATACTCAGCGCCCCCATGGGTGTAGAAGGGACCCTCTCGCTCCCCAATCTCGGCGCTTAGGGCATAGTGAAAGCCCCGTTGCTGCCGTAGTTCGCTTTCCCGCCCCTTGATCGGTGTCACGTTAGACGAGTGTCGAGACAATACAGATTGCTATTATTCGTTCTAGGACCCACGCACAATCAGCTAATCGCCGAGTGATGAGGCGATNTTTTTTTTGTTTAGTTATGCTTATAAGTGAATGAGTTTTTGCTTACCATAGTCTGTTATTCGCACCAGGACCCACACGTACGCAGTGAGACACATTGTATAGCTCACGAACGCCTCACCCTTCATTTTTCTGGTCTCATTCTCGTCCAGCCCCCTTTTAACGGTTTTTCAAAGTCATTTTTTCACTTTGGATATACCGATCTTCATCTCAGTCGCACTACTTTCGATTTTGTCTTCTATTTTTCATCATAACCTGGATTACCCAAAAATATCGTAAACTGCCTTAAACTTGAAGAACCCTTCTGCACAAGGAAAGTACATGATTCTCAATGTGGATCTGCTCTAAGTCTGCACCGCTCGAAATCATTTCAGTAACACCAAAAAGTGTTCATTAGGCATTGATGGTGCTAGTGTCAAGCGATGTTCAGGGTTTGTAAAGCTGATTTTTTAGACAATCGGCCAAACAAGCGAATACGGTGTATTCAGCCACCATCATCGCGTCAAAAGGGAAATAGCTTTACAAGAAGGCCAATTTGCGATGACTTTATAAATCTTCGATCGGTTAGAGGACGAAAGGTTGAGAGTGTCAAAATAGTACATTGGCGACGAAGGGGTG